GGATCTTTAAGGACGAAATATAGCAAGTCAGATCTCTTTGATGCAAACCCAAGTAACCCATTACAAAACAGCATCAGTGTTCAAAAGTTGAAACAAGTTCATCACGGACCGAATTGCCTTTAATAAAATCTGCTATCAAAACAACGATTTTCATTACTTCTCGGCAAAGCCTGAGATGAGAGCAAAGGAATCAATTTTGTTGAGCATACCGTAGAATTTATGGCGATTCACTTCACCAACAGGACTGTTATCATCTTCGAGATCGAATGTTCCCGAATATTTGTCATAATCGAACTTGTAGACACAATGCAATGGCTCGCTGATTGTCGCATACCTGAAAATACCATTCATCGGAGAGATAATCAGCTGAATATAGTATCAGGTTTGATTAAACAAGTTGTGATAAGATCCGAGACATTACCTTCTTAGCAGTACATTTGCATTACCATCTCTGCTGTGTCTTGTACAATCAAGCCACAAACCGTGCTCGTGGATTGAGTTATACTCTCGCAAATTGACGACCTGAAACATTCTCTGATCTTAAAAAAATCAATGAAAGCAAACCTTCAAAAAGGAAGCAAGCCTTCAAAAACTACAATTCAGCTAAGGTTTCATTTCGTTTTTCTGGCCGTCGCAATGTTTTAAAATGATTAACGCAAATCACACCTGCCATGAAGGCAGCAAAATAGCTGCAATATTAAGTCCGAGGCCAATGAGCGTGAGGACGAGAGCGAATAAAATGGACGCCTTTTCACCGAAAACGTTCACTGACGACATTACGCTCTGGAACGTCAGTCAGTAAATCGAGTATCGCTGCTCGTCGTCAACTTTCAGTTCAGTCTTTACGAGATCTTCTAGTAGTCAATCTGCAAAGAATTATTCATAAAGAATCGCACCTAAATCACGGTTCTACACCTTCAGCGAGCAGGAACATTCCCTCACAAAAACTCGAACTCAACACTGCCACTGATCTCATGAAATGACCAAAAACGACCTCAACAATTTCACCATTACTTGTTTTTATGAGTTTATCTGGATCGGTTATCGCGTTGCGTGAGGTATCAATAAAGTTGTTTTGCGCAACAGATGAATCATCACAATTAATCGCTTGTAAACGGCAATAATAGAACAGCAATGGAATGTTCAAATTGTAAGTTGAGAATCAACTATTACTCATCAAACGGTGCAATTCACATTGAATGAGACAAATTCAGGAATTGAGCTTGGAATATTTCGATCAACACGCTGAATAATCACGCGCATATAGAATTCTATCAAGCAGGCGATAACATAATGGTTATTTGAAGTGGGCAGAAACGAAAACGCAAAGCAGTTTT